CCAGGGGCCTTCGGGCTGGCACTTGGCTGCACGGCTGCCCCACAGCACGTAGCCCGGCTGGCACTGGAAGGTGACGTTGGCCCCGGGACGGTACACAGCGCTCTGTCCTTCAGCCACTGCTCCGTTCTGGACGTCGGGGCTCGTGCAAGTAAGTGATCACTGCAAGGGAAAAGCAGCAGAGCATGGGCTGGGGGGGTGGCGGCCAGAGCTGGGGATCCCCACTTTGTTCTTGTGAGGTCAAAATTCAGGAAAGCTGTGGGAGCTCGACGGTCTCCCTTTTCTCTGTGGGTACAGCGCTCACAGCTCACCTTCACACCGGGGGTAAGGGATGCTCCAGGTTCCATTGACCGTACAGTACAGAGTTGTTTTTCCAATAAGAGAATAGCCGGGGTCACAGCTGTAATTTACAGACGTTCCGGGGATGAACACTTTCACATCCTTGTTGTCGTGCTGGCCATGCTCAATCGCCGATGGGGAGGGACACAGCTTCCCTGCAGGGAGGGAAATCCTCACTGAGGACAGGATGGGTGTTCTGGTTTGTTTTCCTGCTTAGCACTAGAGAACTGAGTCTCTCTGAGTGCAATTCTGTGGATTTTCGCTTTTCTCCCCTTCTTTCCACCTGTAATCCCTTTCTATCACTGGCCTATCCACAAGTGAAAAAGGCAGGCGAACGCACCTTCACACCGAGGGGCAGGGACGCTCCAAGCTCCCGAAGAAGTACAGTTAAGCTGTGCCTCTCCAACAAGAACGTAGCCAGGATCGCAGGCGTAGCTCACGGACATGCCGCTGGTGAAGACGGCCGTGGCCTGGCCACTGTGCTTTCCATTGGCAACGGCTGGAGGGTGAGAGCACTGCGGCACTGGGGAAAGAGGGCAAACCCACGCTCATGTCAGCAGTGAGAAAAAGGAGAAATATGGAATAATGAGCGAGTTGGTGCAGAGGAACATTGCAGCAGAGCTGCCAGCCTGTAAGAGACAGGGATGTCTCGGACAGGTATCTCTTGGCTGCTGCTCATTGCCAGAGTCCATGCAGAGGCTTCAGCCCTCTGGACTTAGGAGCACGTATTTCTGTGTGCAGGAAAGACATGGACCTGTTGGAACAGGTCCAGAGGAGGCCACGGAAACAATCCAAGGGCGGGAACACCTCTCCTGTGAGGAAAGGCTGAAAGAGTTGGGGCTGTTCAGCCTGGAGAAGGGAAGGCTCCACAGAGACCTTATTGTCGCATTTCAGTACTTAAAGAGATCTTATAAAAAGAGGTCTTATAAAAGAGATGGGGACAAAATTTTTAGCAGGGCTTGTTGCGATAGGACAAGGGGTAATGGTTTTGAGCTAAAAGAGGTTAGATTTAGGGTGGAAGTAAGGAAGAGATTTTTTACAGGGAGGGAGGTGAGACACTGGCATAGGTTGCCCAGAGAGGCGGGAGATGCCCCGTCCCTGGAAGCATTCCAGGTCAGGTTGGACGGGGCTCTGAGCAACCTGATCGGGTTGAAGATGTCCCTGCTCACTGCAGGGAGTTGGACTGGATGGCTTTTAAAGGTCCCTTCCAACCCAAACCATTCTGTGATCCCCGGTGCGTGAGAAAGGGCTCTTGCAGCAGGGATGGAGCGGGCACGAACACATCCCGGCCCAGCATCCTCCCCGGCCCCTCCTGTCTTGGGAACAACCACTGCTCCGCAGCCCATCCCTGTGGGTGCCCGGTCCTGCCCTCAGCCTCGCTGGTGGGAACGGGTGCCCGGCACGGCAGGGGACCTACTTCGCACCCGCGGGTG